ACTGATGCTGGAACATGTACGTTTGGTGACATTCATACTAATGCTTTGCGTCTCTTACCAACACAGCCACCACAAGATCACGACACAATGCCCGCGCCATAATAACAGTTACTGTTCTGTTTGGTCAAGTCATTTTCGTTTTATAGCTGGCAGGTGTCTTGTAACTGAGCACACGTGACTCTTAATGTGGCGCGAGTGACGCCCTCGGCAGTGACGAGTGACGCAATCCAGGCGGCAATTTTCTGAAGAGTGACTTGACTGTCGAGGGGTGAACAACAACTGGTGTATTACTCGTGTAACGGGTACGTTTCATTTTTGTTCAGTGAACCCTGCGTTACCTTGGCCGGCCGCGCGGTGACTCACTCGGTATCCTCGCCATTGCCTTAGGGTTAGCCGGCCGTGGCAAGGCGCCTGGCGGGTAGGCAGCCGCAATGCACATTAGTGTTGCAGGCTGGCCTACCCTGCCACTCTCTGCTGAGCCCCGCGGGCGCGCCGCGGGGCGGTGACGAGGTGGCGCTCGTTGCCGCCAGGTGCTGCTGCTCACGCTGCCCCTCCCTCTCGTCCCTGCGAGGTTTCTTGGGTGCTCAGGCGTCAGCTGATCGGCCTCTTGCACTTGACCTTGCACAGCAACACTAGTTATTACCGGGTTATAAATTTACTATTCCTTGTTATTTGGCGGAGTTTTTTCCAATAGCTCTTACTCTGCAAGTCAGATAACCTACCTCGCCCCCTCTACTGTATTATTAAGAGTTAGCCGGACACCCTCTAATGTAATGGGGTGCGCACAGGGAAACACATTACACTCGGCCTGATAATACCTTGTATTTCCTGATATTACCAAGCACTACGTGAATTCCACGTATTACCTTCTAATACCAAGTATTGCCTGAGTATTTTCTGTATCACAGTGTATCACTTGTATTACTTATTCGCGTCCGAAAGCTAGCCTCTGGCGCGCCTGGTGGCCGGTCCGGGAACTAGCGCGATACAAGGCAGAAGCCGTTCCGGGGATCCCTAGCAAGTGTATGGAGCGGGGCTGTTACCGGCGTAGGTAATTCTGGTGAAATAGTGAGTGTCATAAGTGAAAAATGGTGCTAGTTAGTATTTCGGACGTAATAGGGGCCGTCCAGGACTTCAAAAGACCCATGATCGAAGGGGAAGCAGTATTAGAGTCAGGTTTACTTGTGGCTTTGGGCAGACTCGGCGCCGCGGAGAATGGTCTTCTGAAGGTGTGGTGTTTGTGTATCCAAACCTCGTCAATTTTCACAAATCCTCACACAATAAATGTCACCCACAATCTTAAAAGCGCCCTGAATCGCATAAAATAATTGTCCTGCTCTTGTAAGGCCGGAACCAGTGCAAAAGTGTTAACATGCTATTGCGACATTAATGCACCTGAACAAGTAAGTTGATAGTAAATTTGGCCTTATTCCCTTGCTGTCATGTTCTAGTTTTCCTCTTTATGTGTTGTAGCTAAAAATAACAAAATTGTTAATTTAGTATTTTGAAATATTGTTGCAGATTAAATAGTGAAAATGACTTGGAGGATTTGAGTTGCACTGACCTGGAGCAGCAGTGGGGGAAGCTTAAAAAAGCTGTACAGACTGATAATGAGGCTGTGCCAATTACAGAATTCTGTCATTTTCCAAAGTATAATAATGTATACTCTAGGGATAATGTAGATGCTACTGGAGAGCAACAGTCAAGATTTGCACAGCTCATCATTGAAAGTATGTACGAATCGACTCGGGAGTCGTAGGTCGTACCAACCACACGTGAAATGAAAATTAACCCCCCCCCCCTCCTTCCCGGCCCTGACAGAAATTATCGTGCATACACGGATGAACGATGCATGCATCATGCATGCATCATGCGCGAGCATCGTGCATCGTGCGCGCACGATGCATGCATCGCCTCCGCCGCGCATAGTGCGGAATCACCGTGAAAAATGCTAACTGGAAATGTCCCTGTACTTAAGGCAGGCGCATTAAACATTCGACCACTGACATCTTTCTAATGTGTGCGTTGCATCAGGGTTTTGTGTGACCAATACGCGTCATGACATGTCAGTGATCCTCGTTAGGTTGTGTTACCACCGTTGACTTACGCCCTTCCATCGATTCTCGACATTTTAGGAGGGTGGGTTTGCACCTCTTTGTCAATCCTCGATATTTCAGGGGGTGGGCTAGCACTTCCGGAACTTAGGTACAAGTTGGGCACCCCCCACGACACCCCTAAAATTAGGTTAGGTAAGTAATGGGACTCAGACACCCTAAAAATAGGATAGGTTATGTTAAGTACTCAAAAGATACCCCTCGAACTTGTGTGCGAGTTCGGCCCTAACCCAAGACACCCCTAAAATTAGATTGGGTTAGGTCAGAGGCCCCCAAGATGAAGACCGCGACGTTGAGCTATATCAATGGCAGACCGCGACAAAGTGACATGCATTTGCAGTTATTTTCGCTACTAATATTTTCTGCGGTGTTACCCGAGTTTGCATACAATACTGGTTCCTGAATAAACCTTCGCAGACTGCTCTCATGGGCACCTGATCGCTTCAGATCCATCGGGCCCATGAACGTAGCGTACCCCTTTGCCACCCCCCCCTACCCCCGGTCAACCCTCTGAGCATCGTCGGGGCAGAGCGTTTAGCCAGTTGGCAAAGGACCGTCGCATCGGTCGGTCCTGACGGCAGCAGAGCATATAGAGGTCAACGGTGACCTGCACCGTATTCCGGGCCAGCATCAGGATACATACGCACAGCGAACAGTTTCTTGTGAAATTCACAAGAAACGACGTGAAAATTCACGTGCACCCAAACTGCGTGAAAAACGCGTGAAGTTGGCCCGAACCTTGTGAAATTAGCTCCAAACGCGTGAAATGTCAGAGCTGTTGGCTGGTGCTTCGAGTCCCGGTCGCGGCTCTAGCATTAATTTTTTTTTGATCATCTCAGTTGGAGATAGGATAGGACCGGGTCGGTGCAGAGGACTCAGACATAGCTCACTTTAGCCGAGCGCGATAAGGCGTGAGAAACTGAGCCCGCAACCTCGGGTTCGACTCTCGCCGATTGCCGATACTTTTATCCCACCATTTACCACTCCCACTTGGTAGTCACGGGTTCAACACCTACCAGTGACTTGGAGAATTTCAGTTTTCATTTCGTGTTGGATTTCGCCCAGTCTGAGAAAGAGTAACATCGGAGTCTGTACGTACGCCCCGCAAGCAGTGCCGTTAGCCGAGCGCGCTAAATAGTATGCTATGTAGGCCTGAAGCGGCCCCGTGTCCTGGGATCGATACCCACCGACGGCCGCCTTTTTCTTCATTTCTTTCGCAAGCGAACTTGAGAGACACGTAGACGGTGGTTCGATCCCCACCCACTACCTCAATTTCTTATATTGTCTTATAATCGTTTCGGTTTCAGTCTATATTAGCAGCGGAGCCATTGCTCACATCTCGTAGTCGCCCCCTGTAGGTGCGTGGTCTGAGGCGTGTAGTTGACGCACAAGAGGACGCAGGTTCAAGACCCAGCGGCCGCCTCCACTATTTTTTTTTGTAGTTGCCTTTTTAAATCTATGGTAGCATCGGGATCTGTAACTACATCCCCCAACACGCCCGCACAGCCGCGGTCACTAAAGGGTCGGTCTGTCGGCCGCGTGGCGTGGCGTGTCGTAGCCCCATGTCCTGGGTTCGATACCCACCGGGGGCCCCCTTTTTTGTTCATCTCCTTGGAGCGCGTCCTGTGGATGCGTGGTCTAGACGTGTAATTGACGCACAAGCGGACGCGGGTTCAAGACCCGGCGGCCAAGCCCCCATTAGTATTTTTTTTTTCTCGTTTCTTTTTAAATGTATCGTAGCATCTAGTTCTGTTGCCACCGTCCCCAACTCTCCCACACGGCCGCGGCGACTAAGGCGTTGATCTGGCACCCGCACGGCCCAGGTTCGATTCCCGGCGGAGTTCCTTTTTTTTTTTTTTTCTGGATTCCTCGCTCGACCGAAGTCGAAGTGCAGGCGAGTTTTGCATTCAAGTCCCAGAAAAAGACTAAACGATTTTTAGGCACGCTGCTTCGAGATCCAGCGGACGACTAAAAGTATATGGTAGCATCTAGTTCTGTTGACACCGTCCCCAACTCTCCCACACGGCCGCGG